CTCTGGTCTATTGTTCCTGCTCTTCAGAGCCTCAACTATATTATAACACGTGGAAATCTACAGTGATTAATTCAGTGGCAGCAAATTTACACTTACTTTTTGGATGCATCATAGCATTTGCTTTTTAGAATCATCTTTTAAAATATTCTTCTTGAGATTCACATTATCCTTCAGCTTAAGAGCCTGCACTGCATCTAGACACTTAGACCACTTTGCTCTAATGAGATCTTGGGGAATAAATTTTAACTTGGGGTTTTAACTTTTAGAATCTAGATTCTTTGGGGAGCCCAATGAAGACTGTGGACTTTTTCATGCACACATAAAACACACACATACACATATATGAACACTCTGCATCCCATGTCCATGGACCCTATTAAGCCATGGATGTCTGGTTGAGTGCTTCAAGTTCAATCTCAGCCCAAAGGATAGCCATATTGGTCTATTTGAGGTCTACAGGAAAGTGGTATTTAAAAGTCAAAATTGGCCAGCATTATTGCGTTTTTTCCCTTGTGGCACTGCCCACAGGCTGTGCTCTGATGGGATTTCTGCTTTCTAAACTGTCCAGGGATAAATTATCTTTCTCTGGCCACAAGATTCATAGAAAATATAAAATAAACAAGTGCTCATATAAACAGTGCTAGAACAATTGGTGGTCCTGTCTTGCTCATGTTGCCTTCTCAGGGTCATTTGAGTTGATGACCATTGGGGACCCACACTATTACAGTATATGGTTATTTATTATCAGGGCATATATCACATTACAAAGGCAACAATGTATAGATATAAATACTTTATGTGCCTCTTGCCAAGTGGTTCCTATTGCAATATGAAGAGTTTGTGGAACTGCTCAAAATCCTGAGTGCTATTAACATCATTGGTACAAACCTTCCGAAGTCAACTTGGCAATATACAGCAAAGTCCTTAAAAATATGGATACTCTTTGACCAAGCAATTTTCCTTCTAAGATTACACTTTAAGGAGATAATAATATATTGAGCAAAGATTAAATATAAGAATATGAATCAAAGTGATGCTTATCTGAGCAAATAATTGGAAAAAATGAAGTGTCCAATAATAGGAATTCAGTTAATTATGTTGTGACATATCTATATTAAATATAACAATCTCTACAGGTTAAAAGTAATGATGTAGAATATTTAATAAATTGAGGAAATGTTAACAATAAATACAACTAAGATTCAGGTCCCAAAGCTGTATCTTTGGTAGGATCCTGTGGTGACACTGTCATTTCATCCACAATCCATTCTGGCCCATCCCCAGTGAGTTGCAACCATGTGATTTAGGTAGTATTTACCCCATTCTCAGCTGGAGTAGTCAGCATGGCTGGGTTTAGCCAATATTCTGATTGGAACAAGGTCTGAGTCAATCAGCCCATCCAAATTCCCCTGGGTCTAGGGGTTGGTTTTCATTTGGCCAACTCAGCGTGCAACTTAGAACTCTTGTTTAGCAGTTGGAAATGAGAATACTTTCACTCCTTGCATAGGAAATAGCAAGTGTGTAGCCCTGACTGCCTTGGGCAACCATCCCACTATCACGAGGAAAACCAGCCTGAAGCACAGTTAGAATTAAGCAATGGATCCAGAGCCCTGATAAATCAGCCTGAAGCCCACTACCTCCAGACATTTTCAGTTTCGGAACCAATAATCCCCACTTATTGATTAACCTGCCATGAGCTTTGTTTTCTGCACTTGCAATAAAAAAATCCTAATTAATATGGTCTTTAATTATATACAAAAAGTGTGTTTGTATATTACAAAGCTAAACAACAACATGTCCATAGTATTTGTCTCTTGCAGGTAAGGTTACCAGTGATTTTGCCCTCTGTTTGTGCTTTTCTGTAATTCGCAATTTTCTATAATAAATATATTCTTTTATTCAGAAAAAATAAGTATAATGATAATTAGAGTCAGAATCAAAATCATCATCTAAGCCAAAGCCTGCAGATCTTTAATTCCAGCTGGTGATAAGACAAATGAAATAGCTCTTCAACTGGAGGCTAATTTATTTCTGTTTTTATATCTTTCAAAGTAATGAATACAAAGCTCCTAATTCCAATAATCTTATTAATGCTTCTAATAAGTTTATTTAACAATTAAATGATTAGTTCAAGATCTGTGAACATCAACATAGCATCAGTAAAGATTGGTTTTAGATTTACTGAAGTTCAGGTAGGGAAGCAAAGTGGGGTGACCTGGAAGACACAGGAAGTCTTGGAATCCCAGCTCTGCAATTTCCCAGCTATTTGTCCTCAGGCAATTACTTAACCTTTCTGAACCTTAATTATTTCAGCTAAGAAACTATGGGGTTGGACTAAATGTTACCTATAATCTTTCCATCTATGAACTTTTATAATTCTATAAATGGCTCTAAATAATGATTTCTGCGTGAGCAGAACTAGCAGAACTGATATGTACTGCTTGCTATAGGAAGTATGAGTAAGTCTCAACTTCCATTATAACTTTCATGGATTGGTAGAGATTGTGCGCAATGCTGTGTGAAGAAGGTTTCTAGGGTCCACATGGACTTAGCAGGAAAAACTGCTATGATCTATTAACAATGTTGTCGTGGAGAAGAAAGTGACAGTGCTGGCATGCAATGGTGGGAATTCGAATCATCAGTTGGCTCACAGACACATATCTAACAATGTTCCCGCTCCTTTTTTTGATTTGTGGGACAGTATCCAATATCTTTTCGAAATGAAGTTATTGGGAAGGAAATGTATCTGCATCCTTCCTCCTGCTCCTTTGATATCTCTTAATCACTGGTAGTAGAGACTGAAGAAGGGTTTGACTGAATAAGAGAAAAACTTTTAGTACTTGAGACTTCAGAGAGACATTTCTTGCTTGTTCCTTACACGGGATATTTCCTGTAGAGGGAGCTGTGAATTACAGCTTCCTAGATAGCTAGCAAATGTCCTCACAGTGGTTCAGAGAAGGGGTAGGGCTGGCAGTGGTGTTGGCAACCATGTTCATTTCTTGCTTCTGTCGAACTCATGCGCAGTGTGGATCACCAGCAGAAACCCGTGACTAAAGATCACTGTTCTGGAGAGAAGCCAGAGGTGCTGGAGCCCGGAGCCATCTATCACTGTCACAGTAATGCCAAGGCCACAGAGAACAGGGCAAACGAGCAAGTCTACGCCAAGTGGAAACTCTGGGCTGCTTCGGGAATATGCTTCGTCTTCATGATTGCGGAGGTTGTGGGTGAGTATTTCTCAACGAGGCTTCTCTGATTAAACAAGCAAAGAAAATCCTCCATCCTTACAGGAGGGTGACCTAGGTTCTTCTTTTAAAGTGAGAGCTAACCTTTCTGTAAGTATGAAGTAACAATGGGCTCATTGTAGATACATTGGAAAATAAAAGGAAACGTAATAACATTCACCACCATCCCACATTAGGGTGGTAACTGCCAATAAAATTATGAAGTATTTCCATACAATATATTTTCTATTCATAGCTCAGTTTTTCAACACAACCGAGAGCACATTAAATGCTTCTGACCATGCCATCAAATGCTCTGAAAATATTTTCATGCCTGAACAATGCACACTCCACTGTGATTTAAAGGACCATCTCTCTATTGTTAGAAATGTAGGGATTTTTTTTTCCTGTTTATGGACAATGCTGCAATAAAAAATCTTGAATAAAACTCTGCCTGCCTTTCTGGTAAATCTCTTCAAAGAGAGTCCTAAAAGTGGAAATAGTTGGTTGAAGGACATAAATATTTTCATTACTTCTTGATGCATATTGCCAAACTGCTATCCAGAAAGCTTAATACAATTCCTATGTCTGCCAGGTCTGCATGAAAATGATTGCTCTCCAATCTTTATCAGAACTTATTTTAATCTTTGAGAAATCTTTGTTAATATATAAATGAATATGCTTTATTTTAACATCCATTAATGCTAGAACATTTTTTTTGGTATGCTTATTAGTGATCTGTATTTCCCTGTAAATGCATTCCTAGTGGCCTCTTAATGTCTGTTTTTTAGAGAACTTATGATTCGCTATATTGATCTCTGGGAGCTCTTTATATATTAGGATATTAAACTTTTGTTACGTTTGTTAGTACTTTTACTGCTTTTTGTTTGCTTTTTAATTTTTGTTTAATTTTTGGTTTGACATAGAGAAGTTTAAAATTTTATAGAGATAATTGTATCGAATATTTTATTTTTAGCTGATTTTTTTTACTACTCTTTCATCAATTTAGTGCCTAGTAAGCCTTCCCAGGGACTGAGAAGATAAATACCATTTTGTTGTTCAGTTTTAAATCAATGTGAAAGTAGATATGTTTTAAGAATTGAAAAAAATCTTTTTCTAGCCCTAACTGGTTTGGCTCAGTGGATTGAGCCAGGTTTAATTCCCAGGTTTAATTCCGGTTAAGGGCATGTACCTTGGTTATGGGCACATCCCCAGTAGGAGGAGTGCAGGAGGCAGCTGATTGATGTTTCTCTCTCATCGATGTTTCTAACTCTCTATCCCTCTCCCTTCCTCTCTGTAAAAAATCAATAAAATATATTTAAAAAAATCTTTTTCTAAACAGCTAACAATGTTTTCAGTATAATTTATGAAATAATTATTTTCTCCATTGATTTTTGATGTTTCTTTTATCATTTATCAAATTTTTATAAACAATAGGGTTTGGTTCTAAGGTGTTTCATGATTCCTGTTGCTGGTTCTTGTCAGTAGTAACACATTTATTTAATGCAAATTTATGTTATAATAGCTCTTATTCTTTCCTTATTAATCCTTGTTTAACAGAAAAAAGATAAACATAATTTATTTTAGTTTATTATTTTAATTAAGCATGAGAATCATTTTGCTCAGGTTTCTCCAAAATCTAATTATGATTCTAAGAGTGGGTATAAGGAGAAAAGTGAGTTTTGTGAACGAAAGGCCATCTCACTTCAGAATGCTGATTAGACATCAGCTGGGGAGAAGATGCCATCGATTCTCAGCATCACACGGATCCAGGAAGAAGCAGAGGCAGAAAGTACTGGAGGAAACAAGCCAGTTTCTACTTCTTCCTGAGCTGCGTTCGCAATGGGGCGGTGCCAGGCCTTTATTGGAAGGCTGTGAATTTCCAGACATCACCTTTTCAAATCGCATTTTGAATGGGTTCTGTTTTTTAGATTTTCCATTTTGTCAGTCTCTTTCATGAGCAATGCAATATTGTCCACAACCTTATGAATTTCAGTAATGAAAAAGAATACTCCTTTGGCAAAGATGTCAGTGGGTATCCACAGGGCGTTTTCCAGATTGGAACTGTTAAAAGTAAATTATTTGCTATTCCACAAGCTATTAAGTCAGTTCCTTCAAAAGACTTACCCTGGCTCTAGGAACTGTGTGCTATCAATTATTTTTGTAAACCAACTGGAAGCAGGTTATTAACAATCCTGGATTTGTCTTGGGCTGGATAAGTCTAAGTTCTTTTCCAGTTTTGAAAAGCAATAAAAGTCTGAGTACATGGGCCATAAGACTCCATAGCTTGAAGAAAACAATTAATTCTGATTGCTAGCCATTATAGTGGAAAAAAAATAGCTTAGCAGATGCTAATGGAGTAATCGTCCATTTTCAGATGGTTATTAATTTATGCTACCTTTTGGGTAATAGAGAAAAAATTAATAACCATCTGAGAATGGATGATTATTCCATTCCAAAAAACCTCACTTTTCTCCTTATACCCATTCTTATGCTCTATCACTTTGCTTTTAAAAAAATGACTTGCATTTTTAGGGGGTAAAATGGGAAGCTATCTTCTCATTCCTAGATAATTGGTCTATGAGTTCTAATGTAATTTTAGAGTCGGAGGAAAGTGATGTCAGTAAAGAAATTAAGTGGATACTGACAACCATTTGGAATTTGAGCTGTATTTATTTTGAGCAGATTTTCCTAAAACATTGCTCTCATCATGTTGATTCTGTCTTGAAAGTTCTTCCCTGGCTCTCCTTTGCCTCGTTCAGCCCTTCACAACCTTTCCCCATTATGGCAGATGTAGGAACTTTAACTGAGCACTGAAGTAAACTGGCAAGAATACCTGTGGCAACAATAGCCTGGTTTAGGGGCTCCCTCTGTGCTAAGCCCCAAGTGAGAGAGATCAATATATTGGGAAGCTCTGGCATCCTGGACAAAATGAAAACCTCTTACTTTGGCTTTCAAGCCATTCCACCATCTGGCTGCCAAACAGACTATCAGTCTGTTTCCTTTACTACTTCCCTACACGGCTCTTCTGTTTCAGCCATTTATTCATTGAATGCAAAAATAATCATTGTATCTTAATATCTTTGTAGCTTTGGCTCATGACTTTCCATTTGAATGAAAAAACACTTTCCTTCATCCCCCACACTCATCAAAACACTGGCCATGATTCAAGAGCCCAGCCCACAGCTCACTTCCTCCCTAAAGTCATTTTGACCATGTCAGAGAAAGCAATTATTATTCTCAGATTACTCCTGCAGGAGATGGGATTTGAGCCAATCCTTGAGGGAGGGGGGTAGACATGGAGAGGTGGCTAAGAGGGAGATGAGGGGACCTTTCAGATGGAGGGGCCTGAATGAGCAGCACCTGATTATTATTGTGGTCCTGCAGTAGTAAGCATCAGCCTTGCCTGGAGAGACTGAGCGGGTGGGTCTACAACAGGACAGGGAGTATGTGTTCTCAGGAAGCGATTCAAGTGAGTCTGCTAGGCAGCCACATTTGGGCGCCACTGTTGGTAGTGAACCGGTACTGCGTGTTCAGCAAGCTTTCTCACACTCATTGCCTGGTTGCAGTTCTGGTATCCTGGCCCAGGTACCTCATGCTCATAGACAAGGCTGGGTGTGAGATGCTAAGCTGGATTAATCAGAGTCTCTGGGTCTTTACATAGGGAGGCTCAGGGGAAAAGCTCTGTTTACTCTGCAAATACTATGCTGAAATGCTCTGAACCTGGAGCTTCCAGAGGCCCACTTTTCTTGCCGAGGGGGAGGAAGTCTGTCTTCTCTAGGACAGTGATGGTGAACCTTTTGAGCTCGGCGTGTCAGCATTTTGAAAAACCCTAACTTAACTCTGGTGCCGTGTCACATATAGAAATTTTTTGATCTTTGCAACCATAGTAAAACAAAGACTTATATTTTTGATATTTATTTTATATATTTAAATGCCATTTAACAAAGAAAAATCAACCAAAAGAATGAGTTTGTGTGTCACCTCTGACACGCGTGTCATAGGTTCGCCATCACTGCTCTAGGACAATAAATAGCAATAGTTGGACACAGAGGGAGCCCCAACATTTTTGAACCTGAGTGTGGGCTGCACTCAATCCCATCCCACCCAGATCTGTCCTCAGTTACTGAGTCAATAAATCGTCACTTGATGGTTGTTACTGTTTAAGCTGGTGTGAGTTAGGCAGTTATGACTTACCAATGAAAGGGCCTACCAAAGGGAGTGGTGTAGGGTAGAACATGGTTGTGGAGAATAAAACTGGAACAGTAGTTGGGGGTTCAAGAAAGACTATACGGAATGGGGAATCTGGACTCATTCTGCAAGCCTGGAGGAGTAACTGACGTTTTAAAAGAGAAGATTTGGAAACAGCCTAAGTGCCCATCAACAGATGAATGGATTAGAAAACTGTGGTACATTTACACAACGGAATACTATGCTGCTGTAAAAAAGGAATTCTTACCATTTGCAACAGCATGGATGGAACTAGAGAGCATTATGCTAAGCAAAATAAGCCAGTCAGAGAAAGATAAATATTACATGATCTTACTCATATGTGGGATTTAATGATCAACATAATTTGATGAACAAGAATAGATCCAGAGACAAATGGCAGGGGAAGGGGGATTAGAGAACTACCAAAGGACTTGTATGCATGCATATTAGCATAAACAATGAACACAGGTACTGGGGCAGTGGGGGCTTTCCCAGGGTGGGAATGGCTGGTAGGGGGGTCAATTGGGGGAAAAGGAAAAAAAGAGGAGAATCAGGTCATAGATCTGTGTTTAGAGAGAGAACTGAACTCAGTTTGTAGAGCAAATGGGAGGGAGGAATTCAAGATCCAAGAAGGCTGTAAGCATCAATGTCCTTTGAACCTGTTGAATTGGGACTCTTTTTTATTGTTTAAAGTATTGCAAATAGTAGTACATATGTCTGCTTTTCCCCCCATTGATCTCCCCCGGGCCTCCCTCACCCTCCTCGTGTCTGGTTATGCTTATATGCATGCA